ATTGACCGTCACATTATAACGCCCCCACAGCTAAAAGGGCGAGCATGTTTGGTGGGATGGAGGTGCGAACCCGCGACCCGCAGATTGCGAGGCGAGCGTCCTACCCACCTGGCCATGCTGGGCTCAACTGTATAAGTGAATACGACTTCCAAACAAGGAGTTTTTTATTGAAGTTATTTTAATAGTTGCACTTTGACCTAATAATTTGTAATACTAGGAAGGCCCTATATTGAATTTTATGATGTATTTCTAAGTAAAAAATAATACTAGTTGTTTAAGATTATATTAAAAAAACATAACTATAAACATTTCAATTTTCATGATCTTGGCTTACAAGTATGGTGACAGATTTTATCGTTACAATATTCTATGTAATGAGAAATGTTTCTTTACGTAGGAACCCGACGATCTGTTTGAGACAATATCTCAAGCTCTAGTTAATGCGTTTGACCGAGATGCACTGTCGGGTTGGGGAGGAGTGGTCTACATTATGTAAGTTATTCTGGCTTTGTCACTGTATGTTATTGTTGGTATATATTGCTTAGAGAGTAAGTAACAGTTCAAACATATTTTACTATATATAAAACCTGAATAACTTTTTTATTATTATCATCTACATCTGTTATAAAGTGTTGTTAATATAGTCACAGGATTTACACTTGCTAACAAGTGTTGCAAATACAATAACGTAATGGCAAAATGTTTAATTTTTATACAGTATTTGTTTTAATTCAGTTTCTTAAGACAATAACAGAAATATAAATTCATCTTTAACTTTCCTGTGAAATTTCCAAAATGTGTTTCTTTATTAAATATCACTGAAAAAAACAAAAAACTGTATTATACCTCTACGTACTTCCGAGTCACGTGCATTACAAAAGTAACTTACTGAAAAATTATGTAAAGACACTGCATTAAAACTTAAAATAGATTGTACGTCTGTATTTTAGCACTCGACTCTTTCTATTCAAAACTTAGTTTATGTGAAATTTCTACAATTGTATAATAATTTTATTAAAACATTTCCCAATAAAAACTTCTTATGAAAGAACAGAAAGTAAATGTCATAAAAATTGTGTTCATATACTATTTTACAATTGGCTCTCATAATTTCACATCAAATGTATTTGTGATTTTGGTTAAATGTTTCTTCTGTACACTATATTTAATAGATACTCCCGTTTCTTACAGCGAGAAAGACAAGGTCACCGTTAAAGAACTGAAAACTCGTATGGACTAACATTTAAAACTATCACAAAAATGTCATTAATGTAGTAAAATGATGAGTATATCACAGCCACTTTGCCCCGATGATGACGTATTTAATTAAAATGTTCAGCCACTTTGCCCCAAATGATGACGTATTTAATTAAAATGTTCAGCCACTTTGCCCCGATGATGACGTATCTAATTAAAATGTTCAGCCACTTTGCCCCAAATGATCGTATTTAATTAAAATGTTCAGCCACTTTGCCCCAAATGATGACATATTTAATTAAAATGTTTTCTCACTGAATATTGTGTTTGTTCATTTCTGGATAAATCAAAAGTTTAATTTGGTGTTCCTGATTGCCACAGAATTTCTTCACGATGAGAAGATTTAATAGAAAACGACTGGTAATACGTTTTACAAGATTGACCTAAAACATTGTTAAGTCTATTTATACAACTACTTTAAAAAGGGTAAAATCTGTAAGAGAGGTGAAGATACATATTTAATTGGGTATGTTTTTATTTAAGGGATGTTACTGAACTTTAATAGAGAAAGTACACTTCTTTTACAATACACTAACTTAAGACTAAAAGCTTGTAAGGTATTGGAAACAAATAGGCCTAATATTTATTGCAAGTACTAAGCTTATTAAAAACTAATTCAACTCATTGTCTTGTTTCTGATTAAAAGTGTAATTTGAAGATCTGTTTGTTAAAAAAACTTAGTGCATTCAAACTTGCTACAACTTTTAATAAAAAGTCCATTTGAAAGTTGGAAGCTCAGAAGTTGAAATGCTTTTGTAATTACAAAGAAACAAAGATAACTTTACAATATAATCTCAACTGATCTGTTTCTTAGAAGTTTGAAGAGAACTAAGTAATGAATCAAATTTTCAAGTTATGCAGGGTTTAAAGGTACACATTACTTCCAAGCTACGTGTCCGGTCGGAACCAGGGATCTTAGTCACGGACTTGTTGAGGAGACACTACACACGTAGGATTATATAGGAAAGAAAAAATGCTTTGTTTTCAGATGTGAAATAATAATTAAACATTTATGCTTCCCTGAACCAATGTAGATACGATGTTTAACTGTATTTGATATGTTGTGTTTTACTAAAATACCCACACAGCAAGAGGCACACTTCAGTTCATAATTTTAGTCAAGATAACAGCTAATACTGGATACTTCACACCACCATGTTGGGTCACCTTTTCCGTCTTCACTCTCCTCTACAAGTTATAAGACGTCCAATGATATTCAATTATTTTAACCCTATCGACATGGGTCAAAGGCCATTTTATGAATGTATGTCAATAAGTTTGGTATCAAGTTGTTGATTACAATTTTAGTATTATACAGTAGTTAATTTCTTGATTTAAAAGTAAATATTAACAGTGATAGTGAATCAACTTTGACCTCTGGGTTGAGCTTGTTTAGTAGTATACATCTTCAGACTTTGGAAACAAACTTAAAGATAAAGATTAACCCTATTTACTCAAACTGCTTATACGAACAATCTTCATATTTCAAACTTTTAATTATGATATAACACTATTTCTAAGAATTCAGCTAGCGTGAGATAGATTTGACTTCTAATTATTTATTAAATTTAAACAAGTTAGTCATATCTTAATTAACAATTATTTTTTCCTTATGTTCTTTGACAACATTTTCCAGTGTTGATCATGTACAATGAGCTTCTACGAGCTTTTCTTGTGTTGAGATGTACGTTACTACCCCGTCGGCAGTTACAACACCCATACCGTGTCTTCACTGTTGAAAAAAGTAAACCTCTCACATCATCAACCAGTATTCTTTTCCCCCATTTAGAAAATTCAACCAAAACCTCTTCCACTGTTCTTCATGGAATGTTTGCTTTCCGTAAAGTGAGGTAACCATTTACAAGATCTGGAGATAACATCCGTATTCTGGTAAATTCTTCTGCATTAAAATATCTTAGCTTCGTCTGAGGATCGGTGTAAATTCCCTAAAAAAAATGATGTATTATTTTTGTTACATCTTTCATAAATGAAAAAAAAGAAATTAGAGACTGATGTGTTAGTGTAGAATACAGCTTTATTATTAGTACACATACAAAGTAATTCATCAAAATCTGGCTGGTTTAGTATAGAATTAGCTGTATTTGCAATATTTTTTATGTATAAATGGTGTATAGTAAAACTAATCACATGTGTGTAATCTCTCTTATGGATAGTTTTGTTCAGTTATAATTTAATATCTGTTTGTTTTCCTCACCCAGCAGAAGAGGCTTTCACTTTTCTTCTTGACTATAACACTTGCAGAAATATCTACATTTGACTAAAAGTAAACTTTATACGACACAGAGCGCTCTGTTTCCTAAACTACATCTAAATACTGGACACGGTCCAGAAATATAAAACGTTTTACTGGTAATTTTCTAGATTCTTTTATTAACCCTTTCGAGACGGGTCATGGGTGAAAGGTCATGTCATCTCGTTTGTTGACTCGCATCCAAAATTTTATTGAACTACCATTTTATGAATTTGGTATCAAACTGTAGATTATAATTCAAATTTTACTACTATACATTACTCAATTTCATAATTTAAAAGTAAATATTAAAAATCACAGATAAACATCAATTTTTGTGGTATGTTGAATGCAGCACTGGTTCAAATTAGATGTTTGTGAAGTCAAAATACTAAGTCAATAATTTCATACTAATTAGAAACTCAAATTACTGATATTGACAAGCTAGAATATAAAATAAGAACATCTTATCTTTTCTATTTATTAAGATGTTGCTCATGTAATAAATAAGACACAGTGGCACCCCGCCCACCTCTTTCCATTTTTGGAAATGCTACTTATATACACTTACTTCTATATATGACATGAATAACCAATTGAAAGCTCAGAATATCCTCCTAGTGGCTTTCTTGGCCATTTTAAATTCTTAGGATGCTATTTCTTTCTTTTGAACCAAGATTTCAAGGAGGTAGGTTATTTCTTTAGTCAATGAAGAAGTGTAAAAGTCTGGCTAAAGAATGAAACTAACCAAGACTAAAATTTCAAGCCTGAGTTGTCTGTTTTAAATCAACTGGACAAAGTTGATTGGCCAGATCATGATAAGTCTGAAATAACTGATGGTTTGTTTCCATAGAAGTCAACTACATATCTAATCTGATGTCTTTTTCTGTGTGTTACATTAACTTCCAATCACAGCTACCTAAGTACTTCGAAAATAATTAAAAATTAACCTGATAGTCAGTATATCTTACAGCACAACTGTTTCTCTCCATGTTTAACACTTCAACTGTAAACAACTTAACCTATTAACGACACGTTTGGACTAGGTTTATTTGTCAGCTTCTGCTACAATCAGTAAAGTAAACAAACCAATTAAGTAAGTGATAAGCAATTTACTGATATATAAAACAAAAATCTAACTTATAAATACTATTGACATAAAAGTTCTATAAGTATCGTAGCAAACTGGTTGACAGACGGTTAAATAATGATTGAATAAATAAAAGTTAAATAATACATGCAGCTGTAAGACATGGATATAAAAGTATCAAATACTCACTGGTAGGCCACTAATATCAGAGTATTTCTTTAAAGGCTTCCTTGAAGGTGCAGCGTCTAAGCTTGAATCTGAGTAACAGAGAAAATTCATCCGTATCATTAGAAAGCACAATATTATCTTATATGTTGACATGAAATATATTCAAAGATTAACAAAAATATTTGATATCTTCATGTGAATACATATTGCACCCGGTCATCTGATAGTCACAAGAATAACATAAGAGGCACATGTTTCTTTACCCGTAACCTTACGACTGTTAAAATAGCCATAACACACTCACATCTGTCTGGGAGACTATGAGGAAGTTCCTCAGGATGTAACAAGAAGCAAGCAGTTCAAATAAAGGGATAAAAATACAAATAACTAATGAACTCAATCGTATGACTGACAATGGGCAAAAAGGTTTCTAGTTATTTGATAAAAACATAAATCATACCTCCTAGAAAACAGCTATTCATATTTCGATACTTCTTAGCATCTAACAGAGATAAATCAAACAGCTGTCATAGTTTCTACAAGATTTTAAAGTAAAACATATTCTAATACAGCACAATAAAAGCCAAGTATTACAATATCATGCTGAATTTTTTTACTCATCTGGTCAGGTGTTTTCCTTATTTTTTTACAATCTGTCCAAACAGAAACAATAGTTGTTCTGGTTGTTTGGTCATCCACCATTAAAACACACAATATCGTAGCTCAAACAAACTGTTATATATGTTGATCTTATTCACATCTATACTTGTTCTGGTTGTTTGGCCATCAACCATTAAAACACACAATATCATAGTTCAAACAAGCTGGTATATATGTTGATCTTATTCACATGTATACTTGTTCTGGTTGTTTGGCCATCAACCATTAAAACACACATTATCATAGTTCAAACAAACTGGTATGTATGTTGATCTTATTCACATCTATACTTGTTCTGGTTGTTTGGCCATCAACCATTAAAACACACAATATCATAGTTGAAACAAAACTGGTATATATGTTGATCTTATTCACATCTATACTTGTTCTGGTTGTTTGGTCATCCACCATTAAAACACACAATATCATAGTTCAAACAAACTGGTATATATGTTGATCTTATTCACATCTATACTTGTTCTGGTTGTTTGGCCATCAACCATTAAAACACACAATATCATAGTTCAAAGAAACTGGCATGTATGTTGATTTTATTTGCATGATTTTAATATCAGAACACATCTGCCTAAAGATATGTCATCAACTTCCTACATAACGTTTAATATGGTCCATAATGATGTTTCAACACAACTAACGACATCAGTCAGAGATGACACCTTTTACAAGTTTTAAAAACAGACTGTAGTATTTATTTTCTAATGTTTTATCATATAAAATATAATATAATATTACTACAAATATCTTAAGATTTACAACTCACCAGACAGGACCTAATAAGATGAAACATTTTAGGTTTGAGATCGATTTTTCTGTTGACGTTTTACACAACTAAGAGCATGGTTCTTCAAGGCATGAATATTTCAATGATGAAATGATCCATTTGTATACTTACATGTGACTACATTTTGCAGGTAGGTAGCTCTTTCTATTGCTATAATCTGCTTAAGGCTTTTCCATACTCTGGGCTTTTTACCATTAGATTTTCCAGCCTACATGAAAAGATAAAATCCAAAAATTACAAAATTAAATATTTCAAACACTCAATTTTCCTTTGTGATACTGATTTTAACTTTCTTGATTACAATTAATGTTTTGTTTATTATACAAATAAAGGTTCAGCACAACAAAACACTGGTCAAATTTAACTTTTATGTTTAAAATATAATGTTTCTTCTGTACAATACAATGAAATTAGGTGCTAGGGGTGAAAAAATCTTCTATGTGGATTTTCTTTTTAATTATTCAGTAAACAGTAATATTTTGTGACCACAGCTGTAACCATAAATCTCTCATTTCAGCAACAGACCTAAGATAAATGAAAAAAAATCCAAAATCATAGAAACTGACCAGATAATTTGGGTCCTTAAAGACAGGAGTTTTTTCTCCGCTTGCACTGTCTTGTTCACAGTCCTGTCCACCAGGTTCAGAAGAAACTATCTGTTTATCAACCCCTAGTCCTTGCTAAAGGGCAGAGAAATTCTTATCAAAATATACAGACACAAAAGATAAACATCTAATCTAATATTAGAATCATAAGTCCATAAAAAATAAATTAATACAATAAATAACTTAATCTTGCTGTACTTAAATCACCATCACACAGTCCAATTTCTCATATACAAATATGTTTATGTCACTCGTTTAAAATTCACTGTAATTACGCAACAAATACTGTACTTATTAAAGTTGTTAAATATAAACAGAAGATCACAATTATGATAAACAAAGTCATGAAAACAGTAATATGTTTCATTGAAAAATATGCAAAATTGAAATGATTTTAAACAAATATTAAAATCCCATCATAAAACTTATGAATAGTTTAACCCCATAAAAATCATGAACTACTTACTTTATCTACTGAAGAAATATTTGACCTTTTCTTCTTACCCATTATGCAAGTTGATCAGTGTTAAACCTTGATAAAATATAACAAAGAAATATGTATTTTGATATAAAAGTAAGAATAAAATAAAATTCTCACAACTGAATGTGTAAAAACAAGAAAATACTGTATGTGCCTTATGAAACAAATCTTTCTGCTACAACTTTACCACTTTTATAAAAAAATTCTTAATTACTGTACTGTTATTAATTTTATACATTATACGATTAAACAAATATTTAAATATAGAGTTATATGTACATATGAAGAATGATGGCTTAAATGTTGTTTTTTTTATTATATGTGATGATCAACCTTCACTAGCATGCTACCAAAATCAATCAATGTTAATAGCTGGGGTACCTAATATAACTGGTGAATCAATACAATGTATTCATTACAGGTTTTTAAAACTGTTTGTTTGCTGAATTTCATACAAAGGTACTTGAGGGCCATCTGTGCTAGCCATCCCTAATTTAGAAGTGATAGACTAGAGAGAAGGCAGCTAGTCAAATCCATTCACCACCAGCTCTTGAGCTACTCCTTTACTTTTGAAAAATGGGATTAACCATTACACTATAATGCCCCCACAGATGAAGAGGTAAATATGTTTGGTAACAAGGTTCAACTCTGCAACCCACAGATTGTGAATGAAGCTCCCTAATCACCAGACCTTCCCAGGCCCTTTTTAGAACTGTGAGTGGTTCACAACATAAATGTTAATATGCTCCTAATTCATCTTCATTTGAACTAATGATATGCCTCTCACACAATGTTGTTGTACCTACTTTACTTGTTGGCTTAGGTTTACAGATAGTACAAAATTATATATTTTACTTTTTGTTCAAATTCAGGCTTGTTCAGCTTCAGAAGTTGATTATGAATATGTACTTGTCTATAAAACGGCAACCATTATACCAAGTAACATCATAAAATTAGACTACAAGATTTTACCTCTAACACGTGTCTCAATTGGTGGTTCCGAACCTTTTTATGGCCATACCCACAGTCATGCCTTTGAGCCACTAGTGTACCCCTGACACAATTTATTAAAAAACTTAAAAGAGTGGTTTATATTAATAAAAAGGTAAATAAACAGAAATAATTGAAGAGTGAGTCAACAATACACAAACACTAAGTGCTGGTTATGTTGGTAACTCACCAGGGTTGCCCTCCAACTCTAAGGAGTGGAGTTTTTTTGTTTTTTTAAAGCTCTTTAAAGATCCCCATATTCCTGCAGGGGTGCACATACCACATATTTGGAACTGCTCATCAAACAAATCAAGTTGAAATCTGTTGTTGGACAACACTCTATGCAAGAGTGTATGTCTTCTCATGGCATCAGCAAAGTATATGTATAATGACAATATAAAGTTTAATCAATATTTCTATGGCAATCATTATTTGCACATTTTTGAAGTTGAAAAATTATTTTTTGAGGAAAAGTTATTTTGGCAAAACGTTTTGGCACAATTTCACAAAAACAAATCAACTGGACATTTACCACTCGGTGATTCGATAATGTTGAGCTAACCATGTGAGCATCATTTTGTTTCTAAAATATTCAGTAACTCCTACTGACCTTGTGAAAACCATAAAATATTCAGTGACTCCTACTGACCTTGTGAAAACCATAAAATATTCAGTAACTCCTACTGACCTTGTGAAAACCATAAAATATTCAGTAACTCCTACTGACCTTGTGAAAACCATAAAATATTCAGTAACTCCTACTGACCTTGTGAAAACCATAAAATATTCAGTAACTCCTACTGACCTTGTGAAAACCAAATAAGTTGATTAAATAACAAAAACATGTTTTACTATGACCGATAATGATAGTACTGTTTTTATTCAAAACATATCACAACTTCAATTAGAAATGATTGTTGTCTGAATATAATAAAAACAAAAACAGTATTCAGCTGATAAGGATTTGAGTCATCCAAATACTTTAATGTTGTTTACTGTACTCATTAACTTAACTAAACTTGTCTGGTGTCTTCTCATCAAAGAAAATTTCAAGATATAATATAACATGCAAATACTTTCACAAATGAAAAGTGTCTAACTAAACTATAAAACAATTCAGAGCCCTGTCAATTTTTTTTTAGAAATATTCTGTCCACATCAAAAAATAACTTTAAATTTACTAAGAAACTATCACCCATTGAGAACATATCATTCATTACTTGGTTTCCAAACATTTTAATTGTCCATTTGTGGTTAGTTTTTATATACACCTTGGTTGCCATCCTTTTAGGATACTATATCAAGTCACTTGATCATTCACAAATGAAACACAACTTTGGAAGCAGTTATAAAGAAAGTTTAAATATGATTGAATAGAATAAGTAAGATTTCACTACATAGCAGGGTAAATAAAGAGGTTTGAGTAGTAATTTAGGGTTTTGTGGGAAAGTTGCTAATCAGAGCTTCAACAGCATTGACCAGAGGCATTCAGTGAGAAGTTTTGAAGACTTGGGAGTAAGTCAAAAAGTATATTTTTTTTTTGTATAGACAAAAATCTTTGAACTGTGCAAAAATTACACAATTTGTCTTTATGAATTACACTGAATTAAAATTTATTTCAGTTTTATTTAATTACAGCAACATGTACATACTAACCACCATAACAAATCAAGCATAACAATTCATCATACGAAACAGACTTTAGAATCTGTGGCTGAAATAAATTGAAAGTGGTGAAAACAATCCATTTGGCAGAAGTGATGGTAAAAAATACACAACCAGATAAAACCATTTTATTACAAGTGAAATATCTGAATAGGACATAGTCTGATACTTCCAATCATTGTGCAATAGGAAATTATTTGTAACTGATATATCTTAGTATAAGAAATAATTAAATGTATTGATTATCCTATACCTAACTGGTCAACCCTATGTGATGACACGCCATATATTCTTACTCAGATGTAGCAAAATTAGTGAACAATATATGTCATGCATATCATTATCATTATACTATGAGATACACATATGCCCAAAATATTAAACTTAAAGTCTAAGTTTATTGTTATAAATCCAACTCAACAAGCTACCACTACCAGGTCTTTCTACCGTCACTGGCCCCTCCGTAATGCCTTCAAATCAATTCGTATCAATAGCTTTTTTAGAACTAAAGACATTTTACCTTCAGTCTTATGTTAAAAGGTCGGATATAGATATGCATGTGGTGGCTTTAATTTTAAAGCCATCTACATAGGCAAGACTTCTCGCCATTTAGTATAAATAGTTAAAATACGTGCCTTGCGAGTTTGTAACACTAACAGAACTGGACTTAAACTTCAAACTCGACCTTTTCGCTTAGTTTTACAGTCACATATGCATGTGAAAATACACTATTTTATCAATCAGAAATATTTCACAAATTAATTCACAAGTCAAATTCACAGTCGGCTGCTTATTCACAACTAGTACTACTACTATTAATTGTTTATGAAAACAAGATGTTGTGCATATCGTAGGCCTAACTATAAATTAGATATTACCTTATTAGTTATTAGGTTATATGTTCCTAAGCTATTATGAAGCATACCGGGATTAAATTAACCCTTAATTGAAATAAAAATATTCTAATTCAGTTAACAAACTTAGAAAAGCTAAAACTTACTAATTAAAAGTGATAATTCCTCTAGTCCAATTTGAAATGTACCATGAATAAAATCAGCATCGCCCTCTTCATAAAATAAAAACTGTCGAAATCTTTGTACTCTAATATAAAACAAGATAAATACAAAATTGGGAATTTAAAAACCTTCAAATAGGGATTGTAAAAAAAAGTAAGGAAATAAGGTTGAAGATACTGTGGACATTATATTTTGAGTGCGTTAGTTTACTGATACGCTGTAACTTAAACTTACGGATTAAAGTCAAAATTATTCCTAATTCATCTATTTTGTAATTAATAACAGAAGTGAAGCTAGACAACAAAACATTTCCACCAGAAACAAAGTTATTACACTCGAGTATTTCGCTTTTTTAATTAAATTAAATGTCTTTGTAGGATGAATTATTAAATTTCTCCCATAGTTTGTAAATTTTCTACAAGTGGAATACAAAATGGTACTTGATGCCATCTTGTCTTAAAGAAGCCCCGTTCATCCGTGTTGTACAATCTACAACATGATTAGGCGGGTTAGTTAATTAATGAGTTACTCAGAGGTTAGGAACCATTTTTCGACTGTTCATACTTGAATATTTGTCGAAAAAACCTAGTTAATAAACAAAATTATCCTCTGTTAGTTTTTCCTAGAACATTTTTATAGCTTGATACAGCTTATTGGGCCAATACATTTTTATAGCTTTATCACCTTATTGAGCCAATACATATAACATCCAGTAACAAGGGACCATTTGGCCCTTCACGGCTGTCCTTGAATACCAACTATTAAAAAAAAACAAAAATTTAAATTCACCTTTTATTTCTCAGCAAATCATGAATTTCTATCTTCAATTCCTGTAAGATGATTGTCTCTATCATCACTGACAGCAGTTCATTCTGTCAACCAATTACCCTCTTAGAAGAGTAAAATGTTGTTAACTGAAGCCTAACCTGCCTTTTTCCAATGCTTACATTTGTGTACTTTCTTCTTAATATTGTTTACCGTACTACATCAAAAATCTAGAGCTCGGTTTATGAAATTGGATAATATTTTTCATTCGACATATCGAGCATTATTGAATTCTGTTGCAGTGATAAATAATATTAATGATATTAATAACTTTTGTTTGTTTGTTCCCAGATATTTGCACAAAGTTACTCAAGAGCTACTTGTATTAGCTGTCTATAACATTAATTGATAGACTAGAGGGAATGCGCCTAATCAAAAGCACCCACCCCAACTCTTCTGTTTTCAGAACAAGAAGTGGGATTTAAACATAGCTCAATGTGAGAAGCACGATTTATTATTATTATCATTTTATTTTGCGGTAACAGGACGCGAACAATGAACTCACAGACCCATAGTCCAGCACGTTAACCATTGGGCCACGTTCGACCCAATATAATGAGGAGACAATTTATCGGTTATCTGTAAAAATATCTAAACCAGATGTACATTGTTTAAACAGTAACCTGGCCTTTCACCTCATTTCTGTTTCCGATCCATTAATAGATGCTGCGTATGAAGATAGAAACGAAGCTCATATTACAGGAGAGATATCCAGGAATTAAAATTTCGAGAATAAAGTGTGCTTCACCATCAAAGATTCTTCACTTTTTGTCAAAGACAACAACAACAAAAAACAAACGGAATTCATTGGTAGATTTGAGTTCTTGGCTTTCTGGACAAGATAATTATTGTAAAATTTAAAAATAAAGGTGAAATTTGTTGAAAGATTTCATATTTAGTGAGGAGGTCATGTTATTTAATATAATGCCATAAAGGTATATTGTAAATTGTTTTTAATTTCAAAATATATATTCTGCGGTGTGATTATTTATTAATTAATTTTTGCTCTTATTTGTTACACATCTAGACAATAGGTGTCACTGTTTGAGGATGTATTGTTTGGATGACACTAAAAAAACCTAATTTTCCTGAATATTTTCGATTCTGAGAAAACTGAAATACTTTTCGACTACGATTGTTTAGAAATTTGTGGTGTTTCTAAGTAGTTTTTCAACTGATAGAAACTTATCCGTGAGAGACATAAAATAGTAGTTTAAAAATTTACGAGTTGCAGTATTCAACCATTGCTTTGTTAGTGTTCAGGAAGCTTCGTGTATTTACTTTCAAAACTTCATTAGTCCAGCGTACTGTCTATTTTATCTGTTTACAGATAGAACTTCGGTCAGTTTGTTTAATAGGTTTAATATTCAATCAAGTTTTGTGGTTCCACCTATCTATGAGTTATTGAACACGAATCCACGTGGAGGACTGCTGTACTTCCCTGCCATAATTGCTTGGAAGTAAAAAAGAAAAATATTAATTACAAATATTCTCTGGAAGATCCTTTAAACTATAACACATACGAAGATCTCAATTCAAGAAAAAGAAGAGTTCTTAGATAATTCATGCATGTAAAATTTCTTCCAAATGACTGAGAAAACAGCTGAAATTTAAAACAATGAGTATCACTTAAAAGAGGACCGAATAACCCCAAAAGTCATATATAAACAATGAAAACTTAAAAACTCGGTATAACTGAATACAGAAAGTACAAAATAATAAACTAGAACGTATTAGGTCGTCAAGAAATTAATGTCGCTTTTTCTTAGATGAAAAACCCCTAAGAACTTATATATCAAACAAAACATTTATTAAATGAAATAGTCTCCATTCTTATCGATGATGTTTTTCATCTTACAATCAGGTTGTTAATGCCCTGGTTAAAGAAATCTCTTGGCTTTGAAACAAAAGACATGTTGATGTCCTCTTTAGCACCTTCCA